CCGGATCTACAACACTCGTACTAGTGGACAGAAGGCGTGTATAAGCTCCTAAACAAAATGTTGTGTGCATTCAAACGACAATTATCCGCACAACCAAAATATGATTAAATGTCCATGCACGTGCACTATAAATTGTATACACATAGGTACACTAAAGGGAAAAATACAATCACAACCCGCATGGGCCCCGACGAGCATGTTATTGATATACACGTGACGTCTAGGGATGCTGCGCGGGTCAATAAGTGAATTCATGTTCGAACCCGATCCTTCTATACGGATCAATAGGAGTCGACAGGGTTCGAACCTTCAAACAAATACACAGTTGTGGCGACTGGTGTATTTGTTTTAATACATTCATATTAGGCCTCCAATGCCTATAATCAAGAGAATTCACTAATAAAGATATAAAACCCATGAAAATTGATCCTCTATCGACCAGTAGACAGAGTCGACAAGGTTCAATACAGAAAATGGAAATGACCCCAAACACCCCGATGATGGCCGTGTTGAATTATTATCTCAACTGGAGGGGTTCACAAATACTTTCAAATGTCTCCCAAAAGTCCATTCAAATTCCAAAATTCCACAAAGTCCAAACTTCACAAAAATCTTGCTAATCTAGAGATATTTAAAATTGAAACCCAATCATCAACCACTCAAAGCAAAGTCCATCCACCCTCCGCAATAGTTTGTCGGGGTGGACAAAATCAAAATTTACTTCAGCTCACAAAGAGCTAATGCCTAGTCGAAAATATCACTATGATCCATTCTCAAACAATCTCCTGCTAGTAAGGATGTGGTACGCGTCCTTTAACCGGCGATTTTGCTGCCAAATGGCACAGTAGAATAAACGGTTATGACCCAGGGCCCTCTGAACCAAGTGGTTTTGCCACCAAATGGCACCACGAAATACCGGTTATGACCAAAGCCAATATATTCCTTAGTGTCATCAAATCCTTGAGATATGAATCAATAGGATATGATCGATTGGGCACAAAGCCCTCTGTTAGTTAAGGTGGATTCAAATTTGTCCCCTTAAACAAACATTCCCCCAGGTCTACAAGGTACCCTTGGACGAAGCAACCCATGGCTGCCGACAAGGATCCTTCTGTCAGGTTGGGTCGACTACCTCCTCTGACTAAGTAGACCAGGGACCACGATGGCCCGCGATGACGGAACCGTGAGATCTTGATCAGTCCCATCATCCATTCCTCCACCATCCGCTTTAAGTGAAAGATGGTGTAAATTTCTATTTTAAATATCAAATTTTCCAAACATCCAAACACTTCAAAATTTCAAATTCCCAAATCTATGCTGCTACTATATGCCAGATAACACGTATCTCTACGTATCTGATTGACGACTAGCATTAATCGAAAGTTCTCTCTCATGATCGGGATGGATAATTAACTATAGGGGCTTGCGCCTATAGGAAACCAGAACTCAGATCATAAAGTCCTTGCAAAATGAGGGCGAAATCTCTGGGTAGTGTCTTATCTATAAACCCATCTGCCTTCAAAAATTTATCCCGGAACTTCCGTTAAAACTCCCTCACCCGAAAATAAAATCATCAAACAATGCGCGGCGGGGAGGCCGGTGCCGAATTTTCGAAGCCCACAGGGTTTTAGGGAAAATGGGGAATTGGATTGACAAACCTGAATCTCTTGACCAAAATTCCTCTAGGATTGTGCGGGTTACCTGAGAACGGGAGGTTCTTGATGGCAGTTTACAGGAAATCTGAGAGCTATGAGCCTTCCTGGAATTCTGCCATGTACAGAATTTTGAGAAATTGAGGTTCTTGAAGGCTGCAGAGACCTGGCTGGTGTTGAACCACCCAAGTTTTCAACCATTTGAACTGCTGTCAGTGTACAATTGGAACTAGGAAAGAAGGGTGGGGGGGGAATGTGGAGTGCTGGGTTGGATCGGAAGGAGCCCATCAGCTGGGATCGTCACGGTATAATTTCTAAAGCCACGCCTGGTTGGCTGGCTGAGAGATGGAGGGGAAGATGAGATACAGTTCTTGGAAACTCCAAGAATAGAACCTGAGAACAGCGGCTGGAAAACTGGAGGGAATTAGAGGGTCTGGTTCGTAGAGACTCCAAGGCAGCACCGCAGCACCTGAGGATTGACGGCTGAAAACTTGAAGGAAGATGAGAGTTTCCGCTGAGACCTGGAAGAAAAGGAAAGGAATTCTTGGAGACTCCAAGAGGGCCCAATGGGAAGCAGTAATTAAGAACACATTACAAATTGAATGAGTAGCCAAAAGTAAGAGATTTCTTATTTTTTAAGGCCTTTAAATAGGCAGTTTTTTTTTTATAATTTTACATAAAAGCCCCTCCAACATTCCAAATTTAGAAAAATACAAGAATAGCTAAAATAATTCTATTAAAACAACTAATCAATTATTTGGAGGAGATTAACATGTAATGATTCTACTAGGCTCTTATTAACAGGCCCTTTTAGGTCCTCATGGGCCCAAAGTTGGGTAAGTAGCCTACTAACTTCTTCTTCGCCCTTGTGACTTTGCCAGCATGTAGCTCTCCAACGGTAATTTGAATTGGTCTTTCTTGACCGTTAGCTTGATATGCATCAGGAGTGTATTGATTCCTATTTTTAAGAATAAAAATGATGCATTAGATTTTGCAAATTATAGAGAAATTATGTTAATGTGTCATACAATAAAATTATGGGAGAGAGTAATTGAGCATAGGTTATGACGTGATACTAATGTTTCTCAAAATCAATTTGGATTCATGTCAAATAGGTCTATTATGGAAGATACATATTTTTTGGGAGGTTTGATAGAGAGTTATAAAGAGAGTAAGGAGGATCTACATATGATATTTTATGATTTAGAGAAAACATATTATAATGTTCCAAGAGAAATGTTCTCGAGAGTTCTAGAAAAAAAAAGTTAATAATGTTTATATTTAAGTTATTAAGGATTTGTATATGGGAGCTATTATTTGTGTTCAAACACAAAATGGTCTGATTAAGTATTTTCTTATTTAAGTTGGATTACATCATGGATCAACTTTAAGCCCATATATTTTTTCTTTAGTCTTGGATGTTTTTACTAGACATTTGGAAGATGTACCTTAGTGTATGTTTTTTTGCTGATGATATTCTTCTTGTTGATAAGACTAGAGAGGGAGTTGATGAAAAACTTGAATTATAGATCAACTTCAGCGCCTAAATGTTTTCGATTGAGTAGATCTAAAACCGAATACATAGAGTGTAATTTTAGTTGTGATATGTCTAGTGGTGGGATTGTGAGTGATCAAGTCATTTAAAAAAATGCACGTTTTAGATATATCAAGTATATTGTTCAAAGCGATGGTGAAATAGATGGGGATATTATTAGTAGAATTCATGTTGGATGGTTGAACTGAAGGAATGCATGGGGGTTATTGTTTGATAGAAAAGTACCCCTCAAATTTAAGCAAAAATTTTAAAAGATGGTGGTGAGACCTACAATGCCTTATGGCATAGAATGTTGGCCTTTTAAAAAGAAGCATAAAATTAAGTGTAGTGTTGCAGAGATGAGGATGCTAGATATTATGATGCAACTATAGATTTGATACCAATTTGATGATACATATCTTGTATCTTATGGTTCAGGTATGTATTCCTTGGCTGCAAAGAAAAGCATTAAATATCACAAATGACAAATTCTCAACTCTTAATTTTAGCAATGATCAATCTCTTTTGACATAACATCACTAAATATACTTATTCATTCTACGCAATGGTGTAAAAGCTGTCCAATGTTGAAAATCCACAAGAAATCTAACAACCAATATAAAATTCTCTAGCAAATAAAATTCACATCACAAAAAGGAAACACACAAGTACTAGTTCGGTAATATCTCAGTCATATACACATGCCAATTATTAAATAATTTAAAAGAAAGAGCATATGATAGAAGTCACCAATTGGAGGATTCGGAACTCGCATGGTACATGGGGGAATCAACCCCTTAAGTTTTTTTTTTTTAAATCTTGCGGAGCGTTTTAAGAATTCACATTAAAAACACACGTAATGATTGAGAGTAAAGTTGAATTTTATTATGAAATAGACAGTATTTTACAGACAAAGAGATACTCCTATTTGTAATAAAAAAAATAAACAACAGTAACTCCAAATCCCCAAAGATCTGGCCTAATATTTTAAATTTAGAGTAAGTACTTTTGAATTCTAGCAGGTTAACGCTTCCAAACTCAGTTTCAGAAAAAATAGTAATGACAGCATGACAGTACAAATTCAGCTTTTAAAATCCCCCTAATTAGGGTATGCCTAGAGCTAGACATACACCAAATTATCTCGCATAGTATCATTTTTCTGTTTGCCTGCTGACTTTTCTCGCGTAGTTTAGTTTATTAATATTTGCATTTGTCTTGCCATTGCAGTTCATTTTTGTTTTTGCCAATGGAATAACTTAAAAATCTGATTTATCTTTGTTTTCTCCAGAGCTCTATTTTATCTGATATTTTGCTGTTGCACCAAATATTGATAGTTCTTTTTAATTATGATCTGAATAAGGAAAGACTACTGTGCTGAACTTTCAACTAATAGCTATGTGAAGTTTGTGACCATTTTCAATCAAATTAAGGAGTATTTTTTTGTAGTTCATGTGGAGAAGAGCTTCAATTGGACGCATGGTGGGGGATGACATCTCAACCATTAGAGTTATTTTAAATTATTCTCTCAAGATTATTTCTTGCTGCTAGTTATCAAGTTTAATTCTCTTGTGATTCATCTAATGCAAATTGTGCTTGCTTGCGAGAATTTATTATTTGACATCCTTCAGGGAATAAGTCTAATATTAGAAGAGGGAGAACTGTTAATTTTCTTTTCTTAAGTATGTTCCTTTTCCATTAAATCAAACAGTAGGTGGTAATGCTCCATTATACTTTGCACTTTTCCTTCAGAAGTCACATTTACCATTTGTTTTTTGTTTTTAGATATGCTTAGCTTTTATCTTATTCTTTTTCAGGTTATCAAGTGAATAATGGAGTTGGTACAAGTATTCTTTCTTCAAATTATTATAAGAGCATGATTTCAAAGTTTGATCGGCTGATGGTAGTGTGAAAGTTTAGCATTATCTGTTGCCTTTTATTATGTTGCTTCGCAAGGGATTTTATTTTATTTAACCATATGAGTTATTGGCTCTTCACTTTAACTTACATTTCTATTGTCTTAAACAGTACAGATCATTTGCCAAATGTATATTGTACTCATGCAGACCTCGACATGGGATTGGGGACTTTGGGCAATGGTTATAGTCCTATCAGTCCTGCTAGTATGCCATTATGACATGCTTGGGAAAATTTGTCTATTGGCTAGTTAGTTAATTCGTCTTTTGTGCCAGAAAAGTGAATGATTGTGTTAGGTAGTCGGCAACCAGCGTAAAACTTATCAAACAATCATGACATTGCAATTTTTTATGGCACAGAATGTTGGTCATTAAAAGTGAAGCATAAAATTAAGTCGAGTGTTGCAAAGATGAGGATGCTTGGGTGGTTGAGTGGCTTTACAAATAGAGATAGAATGCGAAACAAGTGTATTCGTGAAAAGTTGGAGTAGCTCTAGTGGCAAGAGAAATTATAGAGAGTCTCCTTATATTGTTTGGTCACATATAGTATTGGCCTTCTGATGACCTTTTTAGGAGAGTAGTCTATTAGATCCAACTTATTTTAAGAAATGTAGAGGTAGACTTAAAAAGACTTGATTAAAAAATATTAAAAGTGACATTTCTTATTTGATTTAAATGAGAACTTGACTCTTAATATGACACAATGGAGATCAAAGATTTATGTAGCCGACCCTACGTAGTGAGATAAAAGGTTGTTGTTGTTGTTTTGATATCTTTTGGGCCAGATCATTTCAGTTCAGAAAAAAATTCCCTATATGTTGTAAGTATATATTGTACCAAATTATAATTATGTCCTTTATGTTACTTCATCCAAGTGAATAGCTGAGGCCCCTGCTACCTGAATACGTGGAGCTTGCTCTGATAGTTTAAATCTAAACCAAGAAAATATAAACATTTTTTTTATTGTTTAAATGCTTGTGATCTAGTTTTGGTTTTCTTTTACTGAATTGATGGCCAATAGGTAAACTAGAGTGGGCTGGGCGTGGTTAGGAATAGGCATTAAACGTGGGCCATGGTTGGCTTAATAAGGATGCTTCCAGGACAAGGTAAATGCTTATTTCTATTGTAGGTTCTTTCTGTAATTAGAATGTCATAAGTTCCCGATGTCAGTGGAAATCAGTTGCATGAAAACCTATCACCATCCATCCAAGAATCTGCAGCGAAGATCTTCTACATCTTATATTTTTATTACACTTGTAATATTTAAAACTGCTATCAGCTTGCCACAATCAAGCTTTCATAGCAATTTAATGCAGATCTACTGGGTATTGGATTTCATAAAATCAAATATTTTTCAGAATGACTAAGAAAACATGTGATATTTATCCATAATTTTAATAAGAGCGGCAGGGCTATGTTATCTGGGAATTCATCCTCCATTTTGAACTAAAATGTCTGGCTTATGTTTTTAGTTGAAGTCATGTTATGAATTCTTCAATGTATTACTGATGATTCTTTAGTTGTTTTTATTGCTTCCAAAATGACACTCGCACACATTAGGGATGTTCAATTTCTGGTTTTTGCAGTTAAGACATGTCAATGTGATATTAAACTATGTTTCACAAGCTTTCCTGGATCACTGTCTGATACTGAGCTTTTAGAGGGTTGATGAAAAAGTTCTGAAATTTGAGGAAACTTATGTCAAATGCAACTGCGCCTTTTGCACGTAACCATATTTTAAGTATGATTATTTGTATGGCTGATGGTTGACTTAATTATTGCATTTATTTAAAACTATATTAGGATTGTTAATAAAATTGATCATACATGCTGATTTTTTTTTCAAATTAAAAGTTTAAGCATTATCATTTCATCTTTTTATTTTCAGCAGGGGCATTTAGTCTGTATCTGTTCATTTAGTAGAGGATATGATGCGCCTTTCCTTCTAATACCATTATGTGGTAATTATCTTGCATGCATACTCTGTCCATCAAAAAGCAAATGTGTAGTTGTTGTTATTGGCACTATATTCATTAGATAAAAATGTAAATTGCAAATGTTTGTTTGCAATTCTATTACTTTGTATTTTTGAATAAGTGAATAACCTCTTAATGATTAAATCTTCTATACAGCTTCTGTCGTAATTAGGAATGCATCTTACTGTAGTAATTGGGAATGCATCTCAATGCATATTATTTCCCATTTTAAATAGAATGTTTTTTTTATTGGTTGATAGCAGCCTCATGATAGGACAAGTTGTTTTGTTTTTGTGAAAATTATATGCTGACTTACCATGCAGATTAACAATTCAAACAGCTTGTAATCGTTTAATTTTGGTGGATCTTTTTGTAGATTGAAGCTAGAAACAAGACTTTTGGATGCTTCTATTTATCTGAAAATCTCAATAATGACATGGAATATGTTTTTCAATCCCCTAAGACTGTCAGAGAGAGTGCTTTTAGCGATTTTGATCACACATTGCTGGAGCCTATTGAGTCTTATTCTAGTAAGTATTATCAATCTTAGAACTTTTGTTAGTTATTGACATTGTAGAATAAAATGTATTGGCTGCTAAAAAAGTTTCTTTAATTTACTATGTTCATGATTTTACAGAGTTAAAAAGGTCAATGTTATCATGTTTTTTGAATGCTGTGATTTTTATTTTTTGATGACGTTATTTAGTTCAATTGTAATCCATAGACTTGCAAATATATGAAACTTTTTCTGGCCAACAGAAGATATTTGTGGACACTTATGATCATTATAAACTTGCCAAACCCATGAGCTAGGTTTTCTATATATGGAATGGTGGGATTTTGAGTTCACTGAAATTTTCTTTTATGTGTTTTGGAGTTGTTATAAGAGATATGAACCTTTTAAATCAGTTCTATTTCAAAGAAATATGTTTCAGTATGTTGTTACTGTTTTATGCTCATAAAGGTAAATGACATTCATTTTACTCGTACATTCAGGTGGGGGATCTCTAGATTTATACAATGACCATAAAATCTGCTGGCACTTTGGGATTCATGAAGGAGATAAAGGCCAATGCAATAGTCCTGAGTTTTTCACGAGTTTTCTTGGGCTTCTTGATTCTGTCTCGGACAATGACACTAAATCTAACCATACAAAGTCGTTTGGTCATAGAATACCTGATCTAAGGTCTGTCTTTTACTCTTAAAGATTCCATATTAAACTATAATGCTGATTTGTTTACATATTAACACATCGGCTAATAAAATAATGCTTCTTATAGTAGAATTTATTTTTGCAGTGCTATATTTTGTTTTCTTATTTGCTTTGAAGTAGCTGGTATAATTGATTGCTCTCATGGAGACTAGCTTATATATGCATCCAAGTGAATCAATTTTCTACCCTGATGTCTCAATTTTCTAGACCGAGTGACTAATATGAGCATAGGACTTAGGAATGATTGGTTTATATTTAGGTACTTTGTGTTTTACTATATCATACTCTATGTCAAAGGTGTTGTAAGCTGTAATTGATATTTCTTGGCACTGTAACGTCTATTATTTCCATTTCCATGATAAGCATTGAATGGATGAAAGGTCTATTATTCGTAATAAAACATTATACAAGTTCTATACATATTTGAACTAGGTACAAACTGAAGAGAAGGTTTGACCGGGGTTCATATGGTGAAGTTTGGTTGGCATTTCGTTGGAATTGTTATAATGAACATGATGCATCCCATTCTTTGCATAGTGGTCAGGCTGATTCTTTGGGCAGCCGAAGGCTTACTACGTATTTGTATGATGTAAGCTCATCTGTGAGCCCTCTCAATGAATCCTGCAATAGTAACTCGAGTGATGGAGATTCATTCATTTTGAAACGTATAATGGTAAGCAACTGGTTATTTGTGCTCCTTGGGTTTAAGCAAATTAATGCTCTGATTATACTGAATTTATTGTATTTGTCTACTTATTTTAAAATTTCTATAATGTGGAATGGTTCTTGTTCGTGAAAATGTTAGGCCTGCATGGTTCTGGTGAAGGTTTTCATTTTGAGTTCCTTGCAGCGAAAAGTTTACTCCAATCAGTAACAGTTTTGCGCTCTCATTCTTCTCTGGTGTCTTTGACTTTATGACATGGTTGCCATTGTCTTTTACTTAATGATAGTTTTTATAATATTTTGCTTTGTGTTCAACTTTAATGATTTGGTAAAGATCAAGAAAAACCAACAAAAACATGCAATTTGTTTTGGATAATGTATAGATATTATAGTCTAGGTGCAATCTGCTATAGTATTATGGTTCAAGGTCTTTTCCCTGTTGTCTTATTAGAAAAGTGAGCAATGTATAAACCTAAGATTGTTATTTCTCCATTCCATGTGCTTACTATTGGCCTTTTTTCAAAGACCATGTTCTTACTAACTTACTACATGTATTAAGTGTCCTTGATGAAATTCCAACTCAAGATTTGCAAGAGCATTTTTAGAGTTTAATTCTAACCTTCCTATATTGATTCATTGATTTCAAGCTAGTTGTATTTTGATCATTTAGAGGATGCCACCTCTCCTCTGAGCCTCCTCGAGGTAGTGAGAACTCGAGTGTAGTTTTACTTGAGGTAGCTTAGGTTTTTTTAATCAAAATTCCCTTGATATTGGATGAAGGTTTATGTAGATTTAGTGTTTAGAATTCTTATGGGTGTTAAATAGAGATGTAAATGAGTCGAGCTGGGCTCAAGCTAGTCTTAGCTTGAGCTTGAATTTGATTAATTAATCTAGTTTTAGCTCGAGCTTGAGCTTAATTCTACTAGTTCGAGTCGACTTAGGAGCCAGCTCATTTGTTATAATAGGGAGAAGATTAGTCTTCCCTTGGCCATTCGAAGATGGAATGTAGTACCCTGAATCCTATTCCTCCTATTGTTCTGAATCAATAGGATATGATTGATAGGGCACAAAGCCCTTTGTTAGCTAAGGTGAATTCAAATTTGTCCCCTTAGATAAATATTCACCCCCGGTCTACAAGGTCTCCTTGGACGAAGCAACCCATGGCCGCCGACAAGGATCCTTCTGTCAGGTTGGGTCGACTACCTCCTCTGACTAAGTAGACCAGGGACCACGATGGCCCGGGACGACGGAACCATGGGATCTTGATCGGGTCCATCATCCATTCCCCCACTATCTGCTTTAAGTGCAAGATGGTGAAGTTTCTATTTTAAATATCAAAATTTCCAACCTTTCAAATCTTTAAACTCCCAATATCCATGTCCATCGCTGCTACTATATGCTAGATAACACGTATTCTGTAGGTATCTGATCGATGACTAGCCTTAATCGAAAGTTCTCTCATGATTGGAAGGGGTAATTAACTATAGGAGCTTGCGTCTATAGGAAACCAGAACTCATATTATAAAGTCCTCGCAAAATGAGGGCGAAATCTCTGGGTAGTATTTTATCTACAAACCCATCTGCCTTCCAAAATTTACCCCGGAACTTATTCCGTTAAAACTCCCTCGCCGAAGAAAGAAAAGCACAACAGTGTTAGGCGGAGGCTAGGGCCGAATTTTCGGAGCCCACATGTTCCCTCTCCTGATGCGGGTATTGAGGGTGTTGTGCCAACCACTGTGGAGAAAGTCAATGATAAGGTGGATTTAAATCTACAAAAGAGGCTGTTATTGTTGGTGAGGGTCATTTAGAAATTTCTTCTGATGTTGGCAGCTTGGGTTTGCCTGATCATATGGTTTTCCCTGCGATTGCTTTGGTTTGTGACGCTGGGCTTCCTAAGCCAGTGTTTTTGGCCTTTGATGGTTTGAAGGAAGTGGATCCTCATCTCTCTATTTCTGATTATCCCGTGCAAGAGGCTGATGATTCTCTAGCTGTTATTGGGAAGGATCCTTTGTGTTATACTCCAACTTTCTCTCCTATTTTGGAAGTGGTTAACATGGAATTGTGTTGTGTTAACACAATGGTGGTAAATGATTCATTGAGTGAAATGCCTGATGTTGCTGTTGAACCTGCTATACCCTCTTCTTCTTTTATAATTTCTGATGGCATGGTTGAGATCCCTGTTTCTATTATTTCTAATGAGGATTTAAAAGCTCAATTGGATATGTCTTTGCATGATTCTTGTGTGAACCAGTCAGATTGGCTTGAAGACCACTTATCCCCGCTTGGTTAGGGTGAGGGGGAGGATTTGGAAGGCTCGAGAAGGATTTTAATGCTTTGTTTAACTTGGATGTGAATCACGTAGTTGAGAAGGCCTTCCCCCATAGAGGTGGTAAATGTCGGGGGCGTAAAACCAAAAGGAAGTTACTGTGGTTCTCTTTTCGTTGGGGGCCTTCTTTTGCATTGTTTGTCATTTTGTGTCACTTTATTGGATGCTTAGATTTCGGGTTTTTGAGGTTGTGCTTGATTTTATTTTGGGTGGTTGTAGTGCTGGGGATTGGATTAGCGGTTGTTGCGTTTTTTTATAGACTATGATGTGGCGGTTTTTTCTTTCCACATGGACTATTGAGTCTTGTTGGCAACCATTGGTGGTGACTCAACTTGTTATATTTGGTGGCCTTATTTGGGTTGTTGCTTTTTCTCTTAGTTTCTTCTTGATGGGTTGTTGCTAGCCTCTGCCTATGAATTATCCTAGCTTTGCGTCTGGGTGGTTGAAGGAACTTTGTGCCAATTTTTGAGCTCGACTGGCTACCTCGTCTTTTCTGTTTTTTGCTGTGTTTCTTTCTTTTTTAGTGGTTTGGATGGTTGTAACCTCTTTCTTTATTGGAATAAATTCATCCTTTCAGGTATTTATCATAATAGGATTACAAAAAGAATAGGAAATTAAATGATAAATAACAAAAAAATCACTTGAAATAAGTAATGAGATTGAGTTTTTAAAATTTTTCAACAACTTTATTCTAAACTTATTTAATTTTTATATATTTTAAATATATTTATATTGACATTTTTAAGTGAACAGGCTCACGAGCTGATGAGTTGAGTCGGGGTTGGCTCAGGCTTAGCTTGTTGTTCATCGAGTTTGGTTTAAATCCATTTATTGAGTCGAGTTCGAGTTGACTTTTGAGTTCGCTTAGCTTTGGTACAGACCTAGACGTAAGCTCTACTAATTAATTATCATGCATGCTGGTGAAGAGTATTCTTAATTAGGGAGGTTACTTAGGCTAAATTTTAGATTCAACCTTTAGGGTTTTGTATTGAATTTTATTTATGGGAAATTATAATGATGATTGAAATGAGCTCGATCAAGTCCCTATTGTTTCATAAACTTGGATTTACTAACTGACCCAGTTTAAAACATCATATGGTATTGAGCCATATCATCCAAAGAGCTTGATTAACAATCATGGGTTATCTCATCTCGGGTGCCTCGAACTAATCTTGGTGGAAATGTTTGTTGAAGATATGCTTTTGAGGTTGACGTCAACTCAGTCATCGGCAGGGGAATGACTCTATCTATTGCATTGAATAGTTTAATGGCATACAACATGGTTATTTGCGATTTAGAGGTACTAGATATGACTAGTTAGTACTCAAATGCATGGCATGACCATTAGTTGTCCATGGGTTAAAGTTTTACTTGAAGAATCTCTAAGAAAAATGATGTTTGTAGATGAGTTTTATTTGGATTGACTTGATAGGCTTACTAGCAGAGGAGTTAGCTTCATTAATTGGTGTTGGAGGCCAAGGGCAGGGAAGGCCTTATGTTTGTTATTTAGACTCTTGATTTGTGTTGAAATCAAATTGATTTGAAGTTTGGGACTTATTGTTCTATTTATGAGTTTCCCAAAAAAAGGTAATGCTTGTAATCTTGGCATTTGGAATGTCACAAACAATACTTGGATCAACAATCAAAATTTTGAAACGCACCATTTTTTAGAGTAACATGTAGATTGTAAGGGTCATCGTTAGATCTAGAGGTACAAGCTTCATTGCCTGTAATAGCATAACACCGTGCCTCTAGAAAAGCATGAATATTAAGCATACTTGAGACTTAAAGTGGTAGTTTTTCCATGCCCTATAAGTGTCCAGTCGTGTTGCCCTTTTTGAAGCTTTTTGAGATGTAGATCTTGTTTGTTTGTTTGTTCAAGAGGAACTTGCTTGCTCGATGAGAATTCTCAAAGAAGGTGAGAAGTACTTGAGAATCATTATTGGTGTTATTTCCTCTAGAATGCTACTTCCCCGTTTTAGTTAGTGAATGAAATGGGTTATTTTTCTTTCTGACATGTAGAAAAGCATTCTATGCTCTTCATGAGCTCTCCTCATAAGAACATAGTTATTGAACTTCAACTTTGGTAGTCAGTATTTTTACATGAGTATGTGGCACAATGGATATTGACATAGTGCTCATGGAGATTTGGTAATTAGCTATCCTTCTTTTTGGAGAGAGGCTTTCTATAGTTGTTTTAAGAGGGGCGCTCTTCTATGTCAAAAGAGAAAGCTCTTTAATATGCTTATCCTATACCTTTTACTTTGTAGCTTTTAGTTTGTTATGACAACTTAAGCTATATATTTTGCTGGAAGATTTATAGCCTTGCGATGAAATTAGGGGTGTCAAAATGAGTTGGGTTTTCAGGTCGGGTTTGGGTCCAACCCGAAAATGACCCACAATCATCTGATCCAACTCGAACCCAACCCTGTTTCAAATCTGGGTCAACCCAACATGACCCGACAACTTGTTCTTTTAATTTTTTTTGCTACTTCCAATATTTCATTTTTCACGCTTCTTTGGCCAAATCCCCACTTGACTGCTCACTTTCGTCCTCTTTCTCTCCTTTCTTCCATTTGTACGCTTCTTTGGCTAAATGCTATAAATCTTCTTCTACTCGCTCAGCCCGCCACTTTTCTTCCTTTTGGCTTTCACGCGTAGTGCTCTGATCCGCTGACCTGAATGGATGCAGTGCCGAACCAAAACAATGAATGAATGTACGAAAAGAAGTCCCGCATTCCCGCCTTCTGTCCTGTCTCCGCCTCTCACATTTCGGATTTCATGCACTTCTTTGGCCATATTTGTAAATCCGTCAGATCTGGGTCATAACCAGGTTAATTTCGGGTTGGTTGGTTGACCAGGACCCAACTTGTTAATTAAACGAGTCGGATTTTAAGACCCGAACCCAACCCAATTGTTAAACAGGTCAACCCAAATCTGGAATTTCCCGGTTGGGTCTGAGTTGGGTTGGCGGGCCAGGTCAAATTTTGACACCCCTAGGTGAAATGTTAACAATATTGTATATTTTAATGGCATATGAATGATTGCATATTTTCATCAATTTGGTGCTGCTCTCCATTTTGAGTTCATACAACGATGGAGAGTGGAGTGTATGATACTATATATATATAGAACCATGATTTTTTGAATGATTAGGAAAAATTATTATACTGAATTGCATGGAATTTTTCCTCTATAAAGCTTACTGAATTGGAGGTTTAAGATAAGGGTCCCTAAGGTTTTTTTCCCATATTCTTTGAAGCTCTGGAGAAACATCTTATGTTTTTTGAGCTTGACTCAATGATGATTTTGTTCATTTGAATAACATTGCTTTTTAATGTAATGTAGAGCGATTGATTAGGTATAGTGGTACCTAAGAGGAAGTCATCTTTGTCGAAGGTGATTGTAATGAGCTTTGGCAATTAAAGCTTCAATGCTTTGCTCAACTAAGATGTTTCGTACTACCCTGACTCTTGTAAAACTTTGTTAAGTGTATCGCGATTGATTTGCAACAACACGAGGGAATTATAGATGCTTAACAATATTAGTAGTTTTTGGAGGCGGGCTAAGAAATTGTGTTCCATGACTTCTTTGGGAGTCTTTGGAAACTTACTAGGAGCATGAGATAGAGAATTTTCATTGATATGTTTTCATCTTTATATTTATTCTTTTTCTGTTTTGGAGGAATGACTATGTTTATCGATCCTTATAGGAATTGCTACCTCTTCGAAGGAGTGGTCATCGATAAAAGAGGCTATTGAGACTTTTATTTAAATTCATTATAGTTGTAATATCCTGAACTCGAGTGGGTCCAGTAACATGAAGAGCATGAATAAAACGAAGCGGAAGGAACAAGCTTTCGTTACCTTGAGTTGCATGAAGACAAAGTGGCCAAAGGTTTTTGTTTTTCCGACGCTTGTTTCGTTGCTAGGGTTATGGTGGGCTTTGTCGATTTAGTTGAAGAAGACGAAGGAGAAGTGCTGATCGCATAAACGGAGGAAGATGACTGGAATCGCCGTTTCCAAATAAAGGGTTTCATATCTATATAAGAGGCCAAGTGAGAGTAAGGTATCAAGGAGTGAATGAGAGATGAGGGAGATTGTTAGAGAAAGAGATAACAAAAGAGAGAGCTTGAGCGATGGGTATGGAAGAGATAAGCATTGGCAAGGGCTAAGGCTCAACTGACTATTTAAGGATAAAGTGAGTTCTTCAAGTAAGTTATTTATGGTTGATTTATAAAGATTTTGTTAATTTTGTGAATTTTTGTGTGGAGTTTAATTAAAATGAGAATAATAAGAAATTTAAATTTATGAGCGATTTTATTAAATAAATTATTCTTTAAGTAATAAAATAATTTAGGATTAAATTTAATATATACTAGAAATTTTAGTAAATACATTCACAACTAGAAAGGTTATTTCCATATGAGTAAATAAACTTTATAAAAAGAGATTTTACTTACACAAATAATAGATTAAATGACTACTAATAATTGACATATTTGATACAAGAAAAAATTTGTAAAAATCCTAAGATTGCAAGCAAACAAACGTCTTCCTTTAAAACACAAACAAACTGACATCCATATAACTTAAAAAGATAGACTTGACTTCATTACAAACAAGATAATGAAAATATTAAAATAAAGACATATTACAACTCACTTTATAACATAAAAACTCCTAAACTTGCTTTTACATCGCTTGAGAAGAAAGATACAAATGGAGTGGTCACTTGCGGAGAGAATAATGAGATAAGAAGCCCGAGACGAAATCAAAGAGAGGAGAAGAGAAAAGGGGACAAGCTCGCAAGCTTTCCCAAGAAGAATAGAAGAGAAATGGAACAAGCTCGCAAGCTTTTCCAAGAAGAAACCCGCAGGTTTTTGGCTCAAAAAATTATTCACATAATCTCCTCTTTTAAAACTACAAAACATCACATATTTATATGTGAAAGGAGGTAGCCAA